TGACACCCATAGAACTGCGACTTCCCTGGCTGCAAGCTCACTTTCTCCCAGCTCGGAAACCTGAAGGTATGACACTTGGTTCATCTCACAACGGACAAGAGACTGACGTAACGAAACTAGACTCATAGGCGTCGCCACACTGGCGAGCGACCCTACTCTTGCGAGCAGTGCGGCCGAAGATTTGCGCAACGGGGCAATGTCCGAGCCCATGAGCAAACCCACCAGGGACTCAAGCCTTTCATCTGCAGGCTGGATGATTGCAACAAGACATTTTCTCAACTGGGAAACATGAAGGTACGGGCTTGTCGTTTTCTGCTGCATTGACAATGATGCTAATAAATCCGCAGACGCACCAGAACAACTTCCACAAGACCACGCTCAAGATTCTCACAACCAGGTTCGCCCAGATGCTCTCCTCGGGCGAGGACATCCCTGAGGATGACCGCGAGCTCTTTGAGTACTTCGCTACACACTACAAGAACAGCAACAAGGGCATCAAGGGGCGCGGCAAGGCTCGCGCCATTGCTGAGCGCAAGATGAAGGTGGCTCCTCAGTCGCCGCCCGCCCTTCCCACGACCACTACTCCTACTACCACGACCACTACCACTCAATACCCTCTCCCTCAGATCCCTCCCCCACAGCAAGTTCATCACCAGCACCAACACCAGCAGCACCATGGGTTGACCCACCCGGGCAGCCTGGCAGCGTACAGCATGAGCCGTGGTCACCCTACCATGATGAACAACATGCACCGGGAGCCACATGTTGGAGGTTACGAGATGTTCGAGATGGAAGGAGAGCACCACTCCGTCCAGAACTCTGGCGCCGGTGGTATGCTTTACGAGGAGGACCACACCCGGGGGATGGCTTTCAATGAGCGCATTTACTGAACAGCTCACATAACGACAGCATCACGATTATCACGAATTACCCAGGCACTTATCGAGCGCCCACTGGCTTCGCAGGAAGAGGCACAAAAAAAAAGACGCCCGGATTAATCAGCGAATCGGGTACTCAAAGGTTTAAGCACGACCAAGAAGTCGGCAAATCAGCATGACTGTTTTTATTCTTTCCCTTTCAGCTTGTCAACATTTTGGAGCTGGTGGTGTGCTCCTGCTACATTTAGCAGCAGGAGGAAAACACAAAAACGACTGGGGATGTCAACGGAGTCCGAAAATGGGACGCTAGGCTAATCAAGAGCTAGCGAATGGTGTGGGTTCTTTTCTTCTCTTTTTGTTTTCCCTTGGTTCGAAAGTATTTGCTTTCGAGGTTGGTTGTCTGAACATTCTTGCACACTTGCCCTACTTGGGGCATGATACCAAATATTCATACATAAACACTTTCCTTTGTTAGTAGCTTTGTTCTTGCGCTACTTTTTGTCTTGTACAAGAGCGGAGGTCTGTTCTGAATTTTTCTCTATTCTAATCATCGGACTTGGGTTGGAGCGTTTGTCTGTTAGTCTGTGGATGGATCAAGAGCGAGTACTGGATGGGTGGCTTGGTTTGTGGTCCCATCAGTGGACTTGTCCATTGACTAATTGGTCTGGACTCAGTACTTGGGGCAGAAAAGCGGTCTCAACCGCGAAAGGCTTTTTGGGTTTCAGCTTTGTTTTTTGTTTGGTTGTTTTATGTGTGTGCAAGGGAGGGTGTTATCCCAGCCGGAGCGAGGGCATTGCATTGCATCACGGGGTTATTAGACCCCCCCCAGGAGCGTTGGTGCATGGCATTGGAGTTTCTAGACTCAATGGAACGGAGCATCTGGGTGGACGGCACGGGAGGGTGGTTGGGCGAGCGAGGCATCTTGACCCTTGAATACATCTGGTTCTTGGTGTCGTTCACAAGTGTCCCGGTATTCACTTTAGCTGAATTGAAGAAAGCACTGGTTTTTTTTAAGCTTGCGCATGTCACCATGTCCTAGTCAGAACGAATCTGAGTGCATGATCCTGGAAATAACATGGGTTCTGGGCCGGCAGTGTTGGAGCTCCTCCAACCAGTCAACTCGACGCACAGGGGCTTTTTGGCGCAAGACGCTTGTTGAGCCCTAACTTGGGAACTAGGGATAAGCGGCCACTTTCTACGTATGCACCGAGCGGATTGGATCTAGACTCTGACGAAGGAGGATATTCAAACGGGTTGGCGCGTGGTTTGGGGAGGAGGAGGAGGGGGGTCAGACGCCAGAAGAAAAAGAAGGGAGAGAGAGAGAGAAAAGAAATGCCGCAGCGGATTTTGGGGGAATGCCATGCGCTGCCCCCCACGGAATGACCAGCGCTGAGAGAAGGTCCTGACCAACGAACTTGACGATGATGCGAGTGGCTTGGCCCAGATGCTCGTCGTCGCAGTGGACAGGTGACGGCCGTTCCGGGCCATGGAGCGGACGGTCGGCCGCAGAAGCTGGTGCCGGGAACGGTTGGGCAACGGGCGGGAGGTACCTTCGTAGTCGGGCATCAACACGGCGAAGAGAGAGGCGTTGCTGGAAGGTGGTGGGCGGTAGTAAGGGCAAGGGAGTGAGAGAGAGGAAAGGGGAGTCGGTTCTGAAGCGAAGGACGCGTGACGCAGAGATGCCGTGGATGGCCCGTCGTGGGATTTGGATCTCTGCCCTACCTAAACTACTGTACTAACTACACCCGCGAGATGAATTCCAGCCGGCTGAGATGGGGGATCGCGGGCGTCCCCAACGTTCGAACCGCAACAACGGGCTGCATGTGCCTGCTTCCGGCGATGTGGCTGGAACCCCCTCAGATTCACCGCTTTGAAAACTGGTGAGGATTGGATGCAGGACTGATGGCGGATCGGCCCTGGGCTGCAGCCTGAGAGCCTCTGAGTCGCAATGACGAGCATATGTCTGTCTCATCCCGTCTGTATAGCGTTCGGCGCACGCCTCACCGCCGTGGACGGTGTTTGAATGAGGCGTCCGTCTCCAGGCGCATGTTACCAAGACGGAGGATAGCGACGTAAGCCATATCCTGCGGGCTGGGTTAGCCACAGGCCGCCTCCACAGCGCATCTGCGAGATGGGGTTCTGCCGTGGGTGATCGTCGTCCTGGGATAGGAACTGCAACCCCATGGTTACCTTAAAGCGTCCTGCGCAGTACGGTTATTCGCAGTGTGGCTGTGGCTCAGGGCGGACGCGGGTTGCAGGGTTGGCTGTAAGCAAAAAAGACGTTTCTCAACTGCGGCGTTTCACCTGGGCAGCGGGGCGCGAGGCGAGAGGCGAGAGCAAACGAGAGAAGAGGCAGTATCATTTTATGCATGGCCGAGGAACCGAATACGCTGGCCCTACCCGCGGCGATGTTGCGCGAGCCCGGGTTGAGTCGTGCCCAAGACGAGCAATGCCCAAGCTGAAGACGGCGGCCTAGCTGGCCAATACGGCATTATCTTCATCTCCCTCCGCTCAACAGTTCTATGCAAGGGAGGCTGGCAAACCGCATCTGCTTCTTCAGGGACCAACAACCGGTGAGGTGACACGACACGACGGCACGGCACGGCCGAAGGCCCTAACCCCCGTGCAGAGTTGAGACAAACAGAATGCTGTCACCGCTCTGGACCTCGTAAGCATCCTCGCCCTCGAGCTCCCAGTCGGCGTCGTTGATCAGAACCAGGATACCTGGGCGACTATCGCCACTTCATCAGCCGCAGAGCTACATGTTGGAGGGAGTGTGTGAGTGGGAGAGGGGCTTCCGGGCTGAGATTCTGGGGCAAACGGCAGAGAACGATGCCGGTACTTTCAGCTGAGATAGAGGGGAGTGGACATAGTGGCGGAAAGAAGAGGAGGCAAGGGAAGAATTGTAAGGAGAATCAGGAAGTCCGGCGACTGAATCGAATCGCAGGGCAACAGGGGGAGGGGGTGAAAGGGGAACTAAGACATACAGATGGTTGTCGAGAACGAATAGGTCCTTGCGACTATCGTTCATGACATGCTCGCACAGATAGTCAATGAGATGAGCGATGGTGGTAGTCTGGCCATCCTTGTCGACCGCCGGGATGGTCAGGGCATGGCTGCGCTGATGAGAGAAGAGCATCTCAAGGCCTCCACTAGCAACGGGAAAAGAGTCCACATGGTCAGCGTGGGAACAGAACATCCGGAAACACACTAAACAACGAAGTAAAGAGAGAAGAGAGGACAACAACTGGCGCGCCGAGGAGATGGTCAAGTGGGTTGGTAGAGGAAGCGTGATATTTACGCGGCCACCACCCGCATGGCCATCCGCATCAGTATTAGCATCAGCATTAGCATCAGCTTCAGGGAACAGGCTTTGAAGAAAGCTGAAGCATAGAGGTTGGACGGCCAGTACGGTATCAAAAAGTGACAGGTACCTACGCTAGGGTGGAGGCGTGTGAAGCAAGGCGAGGATGGTGAGGATGACAGCTCACAAAAGGACGAGATGAGAGGGAGACGAGACGCCGGACTCACGAGAACTCGACGGTAATGGAGAGGTGGGGGCCGGTGGCGGTGGCGGCCGCTGAGGAGGAGGAGGAGTCGGCCATGGCGAGGAGGGTCGAGACCGGATCGCTGGGTGGATGGTGTTTGATGGTGGTGTCTATGGTGTCTGATGGGATGGGATGCGATTGTTGGCGCTGAGGCGATCTCCGATGTCCTGGTCCCTCTTTCGCCGCTGCGGTTCCAGCGCGCGTGTCCAAAAGCCACTTATTTCAGCTTTGCCTATTCCTGATCTTGACACTGACGTGAAGACGCGTGTGTCGCGCTTGGTTGGTTGGGTGGTGATTTGGGACGTTGGTGGTTGTATGTTTGGTGGAGAAATGCAGGACTAAGGAAGTTGGCTGGTGAGGTTGCGTGAAAAGGCTTGTTCCCGCCACAACAATTCCACGTCTTCTGGGAGTCGGAATAAATGCAATTTTTGTGGGTTTTGGTGTCCTGGACTTTGAGTGGCCTGTCTTAATCCATGTGTGTTTGAAGAAGCAATGAGATGGCCCAGCTGAGTTCTCAAGTACCTGCGCATATATATGTTTGTGTCCCAGCCCAGCAGCAACTGTCTCTTCTGAGGGTCCTATAGTTTAGTGATCTTATGACGTCGGATTTTGATTGTAGCAAGTGAATCTTCCGAAGACACCAGTTCGAATCTGGTTAGGACCTTGATCTTTTGGTCTCTTTGGCGGGTGCCGATGATTGTTTGAGCTCTAGCACACTTCGCGCGGGCAGCGTGATTGGCGGAGCTGTGTCGGATCCGGGTTGAGACGCAGCTGGGGGATGAAACTTTGACGCAGGCACGCTTGGGGCGGTCGTCAGCAAACGGGTTAAATGTGAACTCCGGCAGTTCAGTCGACGGTTCGGCGTGATGCGACGCGATGTGATGCCATGCGAGGCGCTGTGATATGATGTGATGCCATGTGATGCCATGCAAGCACCGAAGGCGAGCGTGAATCGTTTCGGAAATGCAAGATGGAGTCGCTGCCGTCTACGGTCACGTGAGTAGTCTTAAACATCAAACAATATCAGATCATCTTCATCTACCTGCGAGAAATAAACTGGAGCTCAGTTATTCGGGGCCTATGGAATCGAACGACATGCACAGGCCATTTATTAAAGAGTTTGGTGGTATCTGCACGGCCGCATTTATATTCCCGGCTCTAAATAGACCCATCTGTCGACCCCAATTAGAAGTTCTTACAGCCCGCCTCCAACTTCGGCTCAGATCAGCAACCGGAGTTCATTTGCAGATACTAGAGCTTTGAATCCTTCTTGTACCCCGTCAAATACTCACCGGAGTAAATGTGAACGGAACTTCAATTGTAGCGGGCTGGTCCTGATCGTGGTGCCCGCCTCGATGCGAGCATAGCTGACTTTCAAGGCGTCTTCGAGACTCGCTGTGAGAAATCCCGAGTTTAGTTGCCGATCCAGTGACTCTACTGCTCTGCGCTCTCACGCATGAGTCAAGATAGCTATAAGTTCCCAGTTACTGACGAACCCAGAGCTTCTATTTGTTCGCCGGCACTGTCAGTTGACACTGTTTCCTTGAGTACAACAAAGTATTTGGCCAACTGATCCCTTTAATGGAAAACTGAGCGTTGACGTCGTTTCGTAAATTACCTGCCCCAGACAATCCTTTCTTTCCCGGAGTAAGCTGAGGGTCGGTTCTGGTGAGTTGTCGGGTCTTTCATAACCCAAGAAAGAGCATCTCGTCCGACAGCACCTCAGCCCGAGGACGATTTGACGAGCCTTTCATCCAGAGAACAAGAGGGACACGGGTAACGGACACTTCAAGCGAGCCTTTTCTTAAATTTCATTCAGCCTGGTTGCTTAACAGTGTCTTCTAAAATCGTCCGACTAGTGGCTACGGAGAGCTCTTGAAGGTCTACCTCGCACGGCTCAAGCTTTGGTATATGCACCCTGCGCAATCTCGAGGTATCGAAATCCTGAAAACCACCCACCGCCAGAAACAGCGGTTGATTAGCTGGATAGTAGGTTTTTATTTTATTTTGGATCGTATGACTGAGTGCCCATGCGGTCGTGACATAGAAATCTTCACCCTCGGGCAGTCTGAGTGTAGGAGCGGTACGTACTTAGATGAGCTACACAGACGATGTTGTGCCAGTACTACCACACCGAATGTGCCAATCTAATAGAGTGAGAGGGGATATCAAATAGAGTACGCAGCAGATAGAAAGGTCATGATCAGGTGGTTTTGTCACAATGTACCTATCCATATATTGAAGCGTTGCATTATAACAACCTGTTTGTTTCCGTAATTGCTTTCTCCCCAGAGTCCAATTTGGGTGCTGTATGCTGCTGAGCTAGGTGCACCTACAGCAGTCAGCTCCCTACTACCTTAGGGTAATTAGCACAGTAGCGTAGCGCACACAGAGTTGGCCGATGACATAAGCGCAGGACTCCCAGATCTCAACGACAAGCCCTCGCAGCCAATCAGCTTCCGAGTTGGGCACAATTTTCAGACTCACATCTACGCCGTCGGCAGCAATTTTGACAACATGGCCGGAAGTCCTGTTTCAGTCGAGTACTTGTCGACGGGGGCCAACCGCCAGACGGCCGTGGCGGATTGGAGCCGCGGTGGGATCTTGGCGTTTGGCGCCGACATCAACGTTGCTCTGTGGAGGCCTGCTGTGAGTTTGGGTGTCGCCCCTTCTTGGTGACTCCTCGCTGAGCTCGTCGAAGACGATGGACTGACCTCGTTTTTTTCTAGCTGCAACCCCCAAAGGGAGTCACGGCACTTCTGGGTGGTCACAAGCAAGCAGTCAAGGCCGTGTCTTTCCTCCCGGAAGTCGACGGAGATACCTCCTCCTATCTAATCACCGGCTCTGACGACAAGACCCTCATCGTCTGGAAGGCATCCCAGGATGGGGAGGATTTTACCCCTCTCCAAACCTCGTCTGAGCACACAGGTGCCATCAACTGCATTGCCGTATTGCGGGTAAAGATAGAGTCCCCGAAGTGGATCATTGCAACTGGGGGAGCCGATGCTTCCATCAACATCTGGAGCTTTGAAAACGATCAACTCCAGTTGTTGCAATCTCTCAAGACAACGCCTAAGTACTTCCCCCTGTCGCTGTCCCTGAGCTACCTTGGCGACAACAACGACACCTTCGTTCTTGCTTCCGCTGGAACGCGTGACATCGTCCAGATTTTGACCGCCGAGGTCAATGCGGACAACGTTAAGTTTGAGGTGCAAGCGACACTTACCGGTCACGAGGGCTGGATCCGATCTCTCAGCTTCACCAAGGAGACAGATCAGCCGGACAGCGACTTGCTCCTTGCCTCGGCCAGCCAGGACAAGTACGTCCGTATCTGGAGGATTCACCAAGGCAAAGAGCTACCCGCGCTTGCAGCCAGCGGATCTGACCCCTCGAGCGACGCATACGTCCCCGGGAAATCCCCTTCCAACAAAGCTCATCGTCTCAAGTCTGCCGGTAAGGACTTTTCGGTTACGTTTGAGGCTCTTCTCTTGGGACACGAGGACTGGATCTACAGTGCACGCTGGTGCAAGCAAGGACATGGGAAACTCCAGCTGCTTTCAACGTCGGCCGACAACTCGCTTGCTATCTGGGAAGCGGACCCCAGCTCTGGAATCTGGGTCAGTATGGTAAGACTGGGAGAGATCAGCAGAGAAAAGGGCGCGACGACGGCCACGGGAAGCACAGGCGGCTTCTGGACGGGTCTCTGGTCTCCTGACGGCACGTCGGTCGCATGCTTGGGTCGCACCGGAAGTTGGAGGCGGTGGCAGTACATTGCCTCAGAGGACTCCTGGCGGCCCTGCGTCGCCATCACAGGCCATACGAGAGCTGTCACTGGCATCTCATGGGCTAAAAACGGTGACTATCTCATGTCAACCAGCTCAGACCAGACAACTCGTTTGCACACCCGGTGGAGGGGCCCGGGGGCCGAGACATGGCACGAAATGTCCCGACCCCAGATCCACGGCTATGATCTCAACTGTATCGACTCGCTCGGCGATTCTCAGTTTGTGTCTGGCGCAGATGAGAAACTTATGCGTGTGTTCAGCGAGCCCAAGGCTGTGGCCTCGATGCTCAGCCGCCTAGCAGGTATCGGAAGCGGCGTGGACGTCCAAGCTATGCCTGACGCCGCTAACATGCCTGTGCTTGGCCTGTCCAATAAGGCCATTGATGCTGTGGATGACGACCTAGAAATCCAGCCTGTGGACGACCGGGATCGCGAGGCCATGGACCCGGCTTCAGTTGTGAAGAAATCACACCTTGAAATCGACCATCCTCCTTACGAAGAGACGCTCTCTCGCCACACGCTCTGGCCCGAGACAGAAAAGCTGTACGGTCATGGCTATGAGATCTCGTGTCTCGCAACGAGCAACGATGGCAAGCTCGTGGCCAGCGCCTGTAAGGCCAGTTCAACCAACCACGCCGTCATCCGTCTCTTTGAGACAGAGCGTTGGACGGAGCTAAGACCACCCCTAACAGCGCATTCTCTCACCACCACGAGACTGCGCTTCTCATTGGATGACAAGTACCTCCTCAGTGTCGGGCGAGACCGTCAATGGGCTGTCTTTGAGCGAGCCCCCGAGGAGGACGCGGCATATAAACTCTTGCAGGCAAATCCTAAGGGACACACGCGTATGATCCTCGATGCCGCTTGGGCGCCCTCAGTGACGCCGTTGTTTGCCACAGCTGGTCGAGACAAGCAGGTCCGTATCTGGGCATCCAAGGCCGTCGAGGATGGAAAGCTTCAGTTCACTCAGGCTGCGTCGATCCCGTGCGGCGCGCCTGTTACATCAGTTGATTTCATGCCCCAGCCGGTCAATGGTAGATTCATTCTCGCTGTTGGGACGGAACTGGGGAAACTCACCCTGTGCTTGATCAAGGAAGATGGTTCGGAGGTCGTGGAAAAGCCGGCTTGTGCATCGTAAGTGCCTCCTACAGTCCAAATCTCACGCAATCGTATCGGAAATGGTTGACCTAGCTAACACGTTTACCACGCAGTTTCTGTCTGCCCAAGGCTGTCCTGCAGCTCGCCTGGAGACCGGTGCAAAGAGAAAGCGCAACACGGGAGTACGAGATTGCGGTTGCGGGAGAGGATAGCTCGCTCAGGGTGTATGTGTTTAGCCGCAGATATCTCGAGGGCTCATGAGAATGGACTCTGTTGTAATGCGCTGAAACAGGCTGTGGAGCTCTGCTGCCTCTGTGCTATGTGAAACTTCCATGTCTTGACACTAACCCCCCTGGGAGAAGGAGGATGAGGAAGCAAGCTTTTGATTAAGGTCCTCTATTCGCGTTGTTGACAATTCCAGCGTGTGTTCAATCCTTCCTACACGTCCTCTATCCATCCGATACTCTTCGCTAGTAAAGCCCACCTACACCCAACGCCAGTCCACATTCGCACCACCAGTTTCCAAGTCACCAACAACTGCCTGAAATCCAGCCATGGAGAGATCGAGATCATTGGCAGTACACCACGGGCACAGATCGAAGACGGCAACATCCGCAGTCCCCCTTGGCCCCGTGACACGCATGATGCGTCCGCAGCCGGCGCCGTTGCCACACCAGGAACCGTGGACGGCGACGATCATCTGCGAGGGCTTGAAGCTCGTTCCACACTGGAAGCCGTTGCTATATTCGAGGGTGAATTCGGCGCGGCCGTGGTTGGCGGGG